TTCTGAATATTTAGTCACTGAAAACCTTATGAATAGCAGAGAAACACTGTCAGATATAGTGCCAGAAAATGAGCCTCTCAGGTTGGAAGGCACTCAAAATGCGACTGGGGAAGAGCTACCTCCTCAAATTAGAGTTGACCTTGATATCGCGAATGGAGTAAAGCCTGTGGGAGAAATTCCTATGGGCCCTTCATTTGCTGATGGGAAACAACTCAAAATGAAAAGCAACAAATGTAAACATCCACTGAAAATCAGAACATGGAATGTACGAAGTCTGAATCTGGGAAAATCGAAAGTTGTCAAAGATGAAATGGAACACATAAACATCGATATCTTAGGCATTAGTGAGTTGAAATGGACTGGTATTAGCCATTTTGAATCTGACAACCACAGGGTTTACCATGCCGGAAACGACAAATTGAAGAGCAGTGGTGTTGTATTCATCGTCAAAAAGAACATATCCAGATCAGTCATGAGGCACAACACCGTCTGTGATAGGATAATATCCATGTGCCTACAGGGAAGCCTAGTTAATACCACTATTATTCAAATTTATGCACCAATCACTAAAGCTAGTGAGGATGAAATAGAAGAATTCTACCAACTTCTTCAATCTGAAATTGATCAAACATGCAAACAGCATGTATTGATCATTACTGGTGATTGGAATGCAAAGGTTGGGAGCAAAAAGGGAGGATCAGTAGTTGTAAAATATGGCCTTGGTGATAGAAATGATGCTGGTGAACTCATGATAGAATTCTGCAAAACCAATGATTGGACAGCATAAGAGATGACTATACACATGGACCTCACCAGATGGAATATATAGAAATCAAATTGACTACATCTGCAAAAAGAGATGATGGAAAAGCTCCATATAATCAGTGAAAACAAGGCCAGGGGCAGACTGTGGAACAGACCATCAATTACTCATATACAAATTCAAACTGAAGCTGAAGAAAATGAAAACAAGTCCACAAGAGCCAAATTATGACCTTGAATATATCCCACCTGAATTTAGAGATCATCTGAAGAACAGATTTGATACATTGAACACTAAAGACCGAAGACCAGAAGAGTTGTAGGATGACATCAAGAACATCATACATGAAGAAAGTAAAAAGTCATTGAGAAGACAAGAAAGAAGGAAAAGGTCAAATGGATGTCAGAAGAGACACTGAAGCTTGCTCACCAATGTAGAGATGCTAAAGCAAATGGAAGAAATGATGAGGTCTAAGAGTTGAACACAAAATTTCAAAGATCAGCTCAAGAAGACAAAGCCAAATATTACAACAAAATGTGCAAACAACTGGAATCAAAAAACCAAAAAGTAAGAACACGCTCAGCATTTCTTAAGCTGGGGAACTGAAGAAAAAATTCAAGACTCGACTTTCATTGTTGAAAGATTCTCTGGGAGAATTATTGAATGATGCAGAAAGCATCAAGACAAGATGGAAGAAATACACAGAGTCACTGT